TCTTAGCTAAATCTCCAGTTTTCTGAATGGTCTGTGCTTTTCCACATGCCTGCAATCGCCTTCTTTACCGGTTTGTGGCTGATCTCTGTCAGTCCCTAAAAAAGCTTTCTGAGTAGCACTTGTCAAACTCCACTCCATCCCAGGACTCCATTTCTCAGCCCCTCTTCACCAGCCCCCAGCCTCGCTCGCACACCCACTTTGATGCCCTTCTATCCTCCTGTAATTTGTCTCTGTCCCAGAGCACTGGGAACTTGAGATCGTATTTGTTTCTCCCACAAGACCACTAGCCAACTGAAAGATGGCTTTTCTCCTTCTGTGTATGCACATCTCTTAGCCTGGGATTTAGAAATCAAGACACATTTCCCATATGTTTGTTAAGCGAATAACAAGAAAACAAGCTGGTAAACTTGAAACTTCTCTGAGAAAGTTGAAGTGATAGATTAAGCTCACATGGGTTGACTGATGACTAGATTCTGTTCACAGACTCAGTCTGCACCCCAAAGTCTTACTTGTTCCTTTGCAAATATGGGTCATTGATTTTAATAATGCAGATGATTCTGTGAAGAAACATACTTTGTTCTGCATTTACCAAGAAACCAGCCAGCTGTTCTCTGAGGAACGTGTTGATGTCACATCTTAAGTTTGGATGTTCAGTCCATCAGAGTGGACAAGCAGGCAGAGGCTCTCTAGAGCCATTATGCTGAGTCCATCAGAGTGGACAGCAGGCAGAGGCTCTCTAGAGCTATTAAATCTGACCATTTTGAAGACTGCATCCAAGGACAGAAAACAAGTGAGGGCTGAGAAGGGACAGAGAAGCCACTCCCCACTGGCACAGAGCCATCTGATTGCCCTGTGTGTCATGAAGATAGCTACTCTCCACTCAGCATTCAGCTTCTGCTGCCCAGCACAAACCAATTTCTGAGTGATTCTTCTGGTGAATGCCTTGGGCCCGTGGATCTCACAATTACATCTAGAAGTACTTGACAAGGAGATGTTTCAGTGTCCCAAGAACTTGGCTTTGCTTTCTTTCTAACTTGGTAATAACCATAGCCTGTGCCTTTTAAAAAATAAATGCTACCTTATCCATCCAAGTTCAAGTTACTGCACAAGAAGAAGAAGAAGAGCCTCCTAACTATGTGTTTGGTCTGAAGTATTATCAGGATGATCAGTTTCGGGGTTAAAGGTAGTTGCCTGATTAGATTAAATGGCATGGCATCCAGAGAGTTGAGGATGCCTGCGGCCAGTCCTGATAATCCTCTAAAACATATGAAGTCCAGCTTGTGTGTAACAGGTCAATTAGAACATGAGAGAGTTTTTTTTTCTTATGATTGTTATCTGAACAAAATCCAATACCTCCAAAGTAGCAGGTAAAGGCTGGAGCAGAAGGCTTAAACTCAAGGCCAAAAACCCTTCTCCTCTCTATTCCACCCAAACTGAAAGTTGAAGTGCTACTGGGGAAGAAAGAACACAAGAAGAGAGACAGAGACAGAGAGAAGAGACAAGGAGGTGGGAGAGATTAATTCTGTTATCCACCCAAGGCCATCTCATTTACCTTTCCACCTCTTGGCTTCTGAGAAGAGAAAATGGTAAACTACGAAAAGTTCTCTCTGAAGCACCTTGGTAAGCTACTGACTCCTAAGCCTGTCTCCCCACTTGGCAGTGTGACGTGGTAGATCTGGGATGGAACACAGGAATCCGAATGATAATAAAAGTACACGACTTGAGAACTCCCAGCAAACTTCTCCCTCTCATCAGACTAAAGGAACTAGTATGTTGATGGAGGACTAGTGAGTTGGAGACAAACTTGGGATGCTTTGAAGGCTGGAGCAGAATGGAAAGATTCTTTCTGTCGCATCTTCTCCAAGTTCAGAGGCAAGGAAAATCCCAGGTTGCTGCTTCTGATAGTCTGTAAAAGCGAAATGCCTCTTGATTGCCTTTCCACTGATGCCATAGACCAAATTACGGTAAATTGAATCTATTAACAACCAGATGGCCTTGTAATTTGTCAAGGGTAAGGCAAGTGCACCCAGCAACCATGCATCAACCTCTCCCACACTTGCCCACACCTACCAGCTTACTATGGGAGCTGAGAAAGCTGGGCATATGGCCCTCTCTCTCCCAGTCACCATCTGAGACCTTTATCCCATCCATCTTTGGCACTCCTTAGACACATTCCTTCAGTGGATCTTATTCTTATCTTCCAACTTTAAAAATAAGTGAATGCCTCTTTTATGACAGCTTCTTGGATACTTAAAATTCCCCTTCCCCAGAACAAATCGTCTCAGCTTACTACATGTGCTTACATTATGTCTAACTTAGAATAACTAAGAACAGATTTGAATCCTTTTAAAAGTGTCTACAACATGAACTTTAGTTCCCCTGAAATCCCAGGGAAAGGTGAGATATGAGCTTTCAGGAGGTCTAGCACGTGCTGGAAATAAAATTCATTAGCCTTTCTGAAGCTACTACAAGTCAGTTTTGAAGGGAAAACGTTTAATTTGAACATAATGCTTTCTGG